AGTTGTTTGCCTAAGTCTACACCCAGATGTCTTTTGAATAAATATATTTATATTGTCTAAGATCTTTAATCAGCAATAAAGTCTAAAACAAATTAGAGCTAGCATATATTCTAGGAAGTAAATGCTTTATGCTTCTAGGCATAGCAATCATGTCCTTAGATAGCCCACACAAAGCAAATGACTATCCACCTACAGCAAACCTGAATATTGACTGCTACTGACTGTCATCTAAGTTAGATTCCCTTCATGTTCAGTCTAAAAAGATAGGGTGGATGAATAGAAGGTCTGCCTCTCTGAAAGTCATTAGAGATTTTAGGTAACATTGATGGATTGGACCTGAATCTCTGTCCCAAGATGTTACAGCATAAGGAAACCTAATGAACATGAAAAAGGAGAGCGAAGAGTAGAAAGAGATGTCTCTTCCATCTTTCAAGAGAACAATGGCACAGAGAAGAGATGAGCTTCGACTAACTTGCACCTAGTTCAATGCCCTGTACCTTGACCCGAGGTGCCTGTATCATCGAGTTTGAAAAACTGATCATCCAGCCTTTTCCAAAATACCTTTCTTTCAAAGCTATTAAAAATAATACTGCTTACATATGAAATATGGCTGTAAATAAACATTCAAGTCACAGACATATTTTTATGAATAGTTCTGTGAGCACTGATGGAGCTTTTACAGAGATTGATCTGAAAAAATCATATTTCCCTGCTATTTGGACAGGTTTTACTATGGCATCAGAAAGTTTTTTGCATTGAATGCAGCTCATCACAGCACAATGGGCCCCAGGTTTCAATCAGGTTTCTACAAAACACACACTGCTTTCTTTATAAAAGCTTGACTGATAGGACAAGTGTGCCTTCTGAGCCAGAGAAGCATATTAGCAGTAAACTTTCCATGCAGGCATAGGCAATGGCTGTAAACAGCAGACTAATGGAACAGAATCAACAGGGATCTCGCAATCCATGAACTGATTATGCATATGTCCTCTGATTGTTTACTTGTGCCATTCTAAGCATGGCCTAAACACAAAGCACATGGAATTTTTCAAATGTGAACAAAACTACTAAATAGCTAGACTCTTTCTTCTTGGGGGTGTTTATCTCCAGTGCATTTGACTTTCTCAAACCAGTAAGTTAAAGGTACTATTGCCACTGGAATGAGAAGACAGCTAGTTGGTAGTTGTAAATCTCGATGCTGAAAGTTATCATTTCAAGCTACAGATTCATGCACCTACAAAAGGTTATAATAGCTGGTTTTTGTTTTGTTGGTTTTGGGTTTGTTTTTGGGTTGTTTTTGTGGTCCCAGGAAGACAGTTTTAAAAGGAGAATCATGCTTCATAGATAAAGTTAATCTAATGCTGGAAATTGTGAGGCACAACTACATTACTATGGGTGCCCAGTTCACATTCTGGCAACTTATGTACAAACCCTCCTTTCCATCTCTCTAACCAAGCATATATTCTTTTTCAGCTTATGCAGGCACTCTACAGCATGTACTTATCCCACCTAAAGCTCCAGTCCTTCACCTTCAGTATTCCCAGCACTCCCCCACAACAGATGTCAAGATCTGAAGTTTGCCATCTGTGGTCTGCATGCCACAAGTGATGTTGAAAACTCTTCCACGGTGAATATGGGACAGGTGGCAGCAACAGCTCTTGACACTGGCTGTACGGATGTTTCCTCAGGAGCTGCTGGGTAATTCCCCCATGCTTCTCACAGAGCAACTGGGAGCTGAAACAATTAGCAACCAACATAACCATGCCTTTAATGACAATGAAAATGCCAAGAACTTGGCAGAATGAGATAGGGATCATTGGATTAGGATGGAAGGAAGGCTAGATCTTCTTTACCCCTGAGGTGAAAGAAGAAGAGCAATTAAGAAAGAAGGATAGGATTGGATTCCTTATTTTGGCAGACAGGAAAATAAGGGAAGGAAGGAGCCAGAGTGAACTGCTGCTTAAGGGTGTGTAAAAGGAAACAAGGAGCTTAAAACTGGGAAGACGGGTGGGAGCGAAGTCCTGTTTTGGAAAGCAAGCAGGGACATGCAACTTGCCCCAAAAGTTAGCAATTGCTGCTGCCTTGAGTAGAAAGTGAATTTCAGAACAAAGGGTTTATGGCAGAGACCCGCCTGCCCATTCTCCCAACCCTTTTGTTTTACAGGAAGAGAAATCAAGAGAAGGGCTCAGCTTTGGAAACATGGCTCCATTCCCAGTCAAATTAGTGTCAGAACCAACATCCCAAAGTGCACCCAGAGGACTACAGGGAGCCAGAACAGCTCTGAGGGCAGGGTATCTATCCCATATTCCCTCTCAGGTAAGTTGCTTACTGATATGATGATTTTCAAATGACACTGGACTACTGAGAGAGTACTGTAGAGCAACTTCCAAATCTATGAAAGCAGAGATAACAGTTGCAGTAAAAAAACCAACCAACCAAAAAAAAAAAAAAATTCACAGCACGTGTCCACTGGAAATAATGCCAGGGAATGGCAGTCATCAATGTTTTCCTTTTTTTTTTTTTTTTTTACTGACCACTAATGAGCACTACAAAAATTTTATATTACTGAAGAAAAGTTCTCTCACAAATGCCAATGTAATTTGGCCTAGTAAAGCATGTGTCTTAGCCCTGACTTCAACATAAATCAGTGATTGAAGTTAAACACATCCATAAGCATCTTCAGGATCAGAGACTGTGTCCCCATAATCAGCTTTTCCAGTACAGTTCACAGTATTGCCAAAGAATCATATTTAAGACTGTATTTTAGTATATCCAATCTATTTAGCTGGTAAGTTGTGCATATCAGAATAGATAATTTCCATAAAATATTGTTGAAGATTTGCTTTTCTGACTCCCAGTTGTCTGGTAATTTGCTTTCTTTTTGTCAAGATGTGATTCATTAAACTGATTTAAATGTACTTTGATTTTTTTTAATGTTTATATCAATCGTGTTTACTGAATTCCATATTTGTATTATTTGTGATATGCATAATGTTTTGAAACACATGAACAATACACTCACTAACGATAGAAATAATCAGCTACAAAGGCAAGAAAATTACCTTCATTCCATTATCTAGATTCACCAACAGAAATCTCATAGATGAACTCTATTCTAATACACAGCCAGATAAGCAATCTTCTTATCTCATAATGATTTCTTCTCATTTAAATCTCCATTACTTCTGCCATCTCATTTTTATGTGATTTCCTTCTTACAGATGCTTTTATGTTAAATTTCCCCAAGCAGACAATAGATATTACATTTTCTTGATATCTCTTTCAAAGCCTTTTATGTGGAATGAAAATAAGTGTAGAGAAGCTACAGGAAGATTTTATTTTCTCATGCGTTCCCAAACTATACATATTTTACACTGCAAACTCCTTCTAGATGGAAACTACACCCCTGCTTCTTAAAAACAATCTGATTTCCAAAGGTAAGGATTAGGAAGCTAAGTGCCAGGCTTAAAAAACTTTTAATTTAATATAATATTATTGCTCATAATACTGGGAAAAAAAAAAAATCCAGAAAGTCCCTATAGCTTATCAACTGAACCATATTCTGCAGATCTGATGCAACAATATCATCCTTGAATTCATTCCTGCCCACCAATACAAATTTCTTCCTCTAACAATCCTATGAACCTCACCACTTTTTTTTTTTTTTTTTTTTTTTGTCAAGGTATAGGCTCTGGAATCTGTCTCTAAAAGATGGAGGAGTGAAACCAAACCTGAATGAAGTGCAACTTGCCTTTGGCAACTGAATATCAACTAAACTAACCTGATAATTTTCCTCTGTGAACTTACTGAGACTGCACTCAATCCCCTCATTGAGATCATCAATAAAGATGTTTAACATCTCTGGGGCCTTGGGAAACCCACGCTTGTGATTGGCCACCAACTGGATGCAACCCCATTCATCACCACTCTCTGGGTTTAGCCATCCAGTCAATTCTTAACCCAGCAAACAGTGCACCTGTCCAAGCCGTGGGCTGCCAGCTTCTCCAGGAGAGTGCTGTGGGTGACAGTACTGAATTCCAGGTAGACAACATCCACAGCCTTTCCTTCATCCACCAGATGTGTCACCTGGTCATAAAGAAGATCAGGTTAGTCAAGAAGGATCTGCTTTCCTAAACTCATCCTGGCTGGGTCTGATCCACTAGTTGTCCTGTATGTCCTACATGAGAGCACTCAATCTGTTCCATAACCTTCCCTAGCACCAAGTCAGGCTGACAGCCCTGTAGTCCCCTGGATACTCCTTCTGGCCCTTCTTGTGGATGGGTGTCACAATGGCCAGGTTCCAGCCATTTGGGACTTCCCTGGCTAGACACAACTGATGATAAATGATGGACAGTGACTTGGTAAGCTCTTCCACCGCTTCCCTCAATACCCTCATGTGGATCTCATCCAGCCCCATAAACTCTTGTTGTTAATGTATTTATATAAACATTTTTATTATCTTTCATAGGGTGGCCAGTTTGTGTTCTAGCTGAGCTTTAGCCTTTCTCATTTTCTCTCTCTGTGATCTAACAACATCTTTGGACTCTTCCTGAGTTGCCTGCCCTTTCTTCTAAAGGTCAAAAATTCCCTTCTTTTCCCTGAGTTCCTGTGAAAACTCCCTGTTCAACCAGGCCAATCTTCCCTGATGTTTTCTCTTTCAGCCCATAGGGACAGGCTACCTCTGCATCTCTAAGATTTCCTTCTTAAAATATGCCTGGCCTTCCTGGACCCCTTCATTATTAAGAACTGTTTCCTAAGGGAGTCTCTGAACCAGTGTCCTGAACAGGCCAAAGTCCACCTTCCATAAATCCAAGGTAGAGGTTTTGTTGAGCACTTCTTTAATCCATCAAGAACCAAAAAGACCTGTTGCTTTGTGGTCGCTCTGTCCAAAGCAGCCTCTGACCACCACATCTCCCACCAGCCCTTCCCTGTTCATAAAAAGCAGGTCTAGCAGGACACTGTCCCTGTAGGCTCCCTCACCAGCTGTGTCAGAAGTTATCTTCCAAAGGCTCTAGGAACCTCCTGGACTGACTCCTTTCCACTGTTGGGTCTCCAGCAGACACTGGCAGGTTAAAGTGTCCCACAAGAACAAGGTCTAGTGATGGCGAAACATCAGCCAGCTGCCTACAGAATATTCCATCTGCCTCTTTATCCTGGTTGAATGGTCTGCAGTGGATTCCCACCAGGATATCTGGCTTACCAGCCTTTGCCCTGATTCTCAGCCCTAGGCACTCAGTCTTATCACCACTATCCCCAAGCTCTGTGCAGTTAAAGCACTCCCTGAGGTACAGAGACACCCCATTTCCTCTTCTGCCTTGCCTATCCCCTCTGAAAAGTTTGTAGCCACCCACTGCAGCACTCCAGTCATGACTCCAGTCACCCCACCACATTTCCCTGATGATGACTACGTCACAGCTTTCCTGCTGTGTGATGGCCTCTGGTTCCTCCTGTTTCTTACCCACACCGCCTACACTGGTGTCGATGCAATTGTGACTGCTCCATTCTCCTCCAAAATCAGCTTCTATGTGTCTCAGGTCCTGCACCTCAAGGGAATTGTAAGCATTTGAAATAATGGTCCTTGAATCAATTAATAAATCTAACAATTTTCAGCATGCTGCTGAAAAACAAGAGTATGTATGGCTCAGATAAGTTCATGTATGTATTTTGAGACTCAGAAGAGAAGAGGTTTTGAATTAACAGGTTTGAAAAACTGTATGAAGAACATCCTGAGGGCAAATGATCTAACAATTGTGTCATGACATTTTATTTTAGTAAGAAAAAATATTAATTGCCATGGTGAGGTAAGTGATCCTTTAGACATTTGCAGACAAAATAACCACTACCCTGCTGAGTTTTCAATAATTTGAGAACAAAAGCATCTCCATTTAGACACCAGAAGCATTTGACCCTCACAACCCACTGTTGCTATGTTCACTAGATTGTGCCCATACTGCCCTTCTGGTTTAGTGTTGAAGTGAAACCTCGACTGTCCTAATTCACCATCTGTCAGTTGGATTTGCAGTGTGGTTTTAGCATATTCAAATTAGATTATCTGATCAAGAAACTCACCCAAAAACTCTTCTCCATCCATCCATGCACCATATTTACCCCAGTCTGTAATGGAGACAATAAGTGGTTAAATTGATGACGTCCTTCAGACAGCCTCCAAACACTGAATGATCAAGATTGCTATGAGAATTAAAAGATATGATATCAAAACTTGCAGGTACTAAAGACCAGGTTTGAATTACCCATTCCAGTTTGCACGGGCAGATGTTCAAAAATGTAGGCTGCATTTCGGCATTGGGAATAATTCTCAGTGTTCCTGTTACAAAACTCTAACGGATGTCTCCATCTCATCTGCCTAGCACTACTATAATTTTATAGCTAAACATGTCTGGGTTTTCTCCCTCAACAACCAGTCTAGAATTTCTCTCACAATATTGCAAAGTTGGGTCATTTCTGATTCTTGTTTCCTCTTGTCCCTTTTAGCTGCAGCACTGACTCATGCCACCTTCAGACCGTGTAACTGGTTATCCACATGCAAGGTAAGTAGCCTCACAAACCACATAATGCAAGATCCAAACAGGGTTGCCTAATGCCAAGGTACCTCTTCACCAAAGTATTAGGACACCCCTCCCTGCCCCTGCTTCTGTGTTCACTATCCTGAGTTTTCCCTGCATCCCAGTGTGCTGAATATAGCTATACTGAGCAAAGCCTGAATTCCTTGTGCCCATAGCTCTCCTTCCTTTCTTGTGTTCAACATGAAAGTCTTATCATCAATAATTTTTCCCCAAAATACTTCCCGCAGACTGCCTTAGCCCAGGCTCTCTTGGTCATGGGTTTGGGACACAGCTTGAGAAAGGCTCTGCACTGGAATGGGAAAGCACCGTAATGCTCCTGCAGCAACCACACAGACACGGAGCACAGGTCTCTGCAGCACCAGGTGTCCAAGCACATGGTCTCCAACACAACCTGCAGCAGATCCAGGGGATGCTCAAGGTTCAGGGACCACTGAGAAAGCTCTCTTCCATGATAATTCTTGGCTGCAGCCCTAGGAAGTATCATTCATGGGCGCTCCAGGTGAGGATAATGCAGGGCGTTGTGGGGGAAGACTACTGCAGCTGCCTTCCCACGGCTGCCGTGTGCTAGGCTGCGCCCGTACTTGACCCATTTACAGTTGCCATGGAGAGAATGAAGTGTATGGAATTATCACTCCTCCAACTGCAATGAGATATCATGGAAATAAATATCTATTTGTGAATTTAAAGGGGGAATACAATGAAATAATTATGAAAATCTATGTCCAGTGACTGCTAACAAATATGTATTATTTGACAAAGCTAATCTATCATCCTTTGTTATCAGCAGACTGTAACTCTACCCAAACCAAACCTCTTAAGAAGAAAAGAGAGGAAATTTGGCACAGTTGTGACACCATTCTTTTCAAGTCTTTTACATTCAAAATTCAAATGCTTTTCATCTTAATGGTCTTGCAACACAAAAATGGATTAAAGCAGCATTAAGCCAGAAATCAGATTTTTATGTGCAATGCAATTTCTTGCAAATTCCTTGAATAGGTTGGTCTCCCTCCCAACAATTAGATTTCTTCCCTCTGTAATTTTGTTGCAGCTACAGCAGCTACTAAAGAGAACAGCACAGTGAAATTGCAACGGAGAGCTCCTTCCAAGTGATACTACTCAGCAAGGTTCCTTAAAGAAAGAAATGCTACTATATAAAGGTTTGTTGAGTTGATAGCAAATGACCAAAAATGTTTCATTTAGGCCTCAGTAAACATTTTATACATGTTAATTATTTTTTCATTAGTTTATTCTCTTTTTCCGCTAAACTGTGAATTTATGAATTTCAAGGATGTATAAAAATGTTAAGCTATTGCAAGCAACTCTGCAAATCATGAGACAGCTCAATTTTGCAAGCTTGGTGGCTGAAGGTAATTTTGGTCAAGCCTCTGGTTAAGGATATTTGCAGCACATAATAGCAATAATTTATTGAAACTATGGCTCACTGAACAATGCTATCTACACTCACACATCAGTGGATGACCCTTTATTAGCCATTTATGCCCATGTAGCTAAGCACACTAATTAGTTTTTATTTTCACTTGTTTAAAGAACTTAGAAGGCTAGCTGGGGATCAGCATTCCCAAACATCACCCGCATTTAGAGGAGCTTAGTCTTATGCTAGAAATCTGAGCCCACTTTTTTTTTCACTGGGTCTTCTGATTATTTTACAATTATGATAGCAGGGAGAGACAAACAAGCTAAAAGAACAGAGTACAAAAATGAAGGCATATAAAGTCTATTATTCTAACCAGAATGTCCCACAAGAAAATGATACAGGGCTAGCAACCCTGAAGACGGAGGAGGGGAAACTGTGCTAAAGCACATTTGAGTGACACAGACCCAGGCCGTGGGATTGTGAGGGTTTGGATTTGGTTGTGGGTTTTTTTTATTTCATGGTAAGGATTAAAGTAGACAGCTGAAAACTCAGAGGTAGGCAATGTCTTTCATCCATCTTAGAGACAGAGTGAGGTGGCTTGTCCCGCGGTAATGCAGTGCCATCTACTGATTCCTTCCTTTAACAAAAAAAAAAAAAAAAAAAAAAGAAAAAAAAAACGAAAAAAAGAAAACCACACTAAATTATACCTTCATGTTAAAGGGAAAAAAAAAAACCAAACACAAAAAACAAACTAAATTACCCCTCCTGGTAGGGCAGGTGTAATCAGCAGCTGCTGCACCGAATGACAGCTGTCCTGATTCTTACCATGAGCTTTGCAGCACTGCAGCTTACCTGTCACAACTACTGATAGTTAACTACAGCTAAACCCAAAATATTTATTTCACAGGTGAGAAAAACCACAAAAACAGTAGGGAAACTTTTTTTAGAAAAGAAAATAAACCCAGAATGTCTCATCACAGAGGACTTCATGAAATACAGGGATCTCTGGATGCTGGCAGTTTCTCTAAATCTGATTTAACCCCATCCTGTGAGTTGAGGTTCAGGTTCAGATGCCTTCCAGAAGCCACACATTCCCATGAGCTAAGTGCTGGGCTACATGCCGGGAAATTCCACATATTTCATTTCTGCTCCCATTTGGCCTGAAGACACCCATCCCTTTGTATTGCTGTGGAGCTGCCCTTGGCCAGGAGACAGCTGCAGGCTGCACAAAAAGGTGGAGAATGGGATGCAGCTTCATGGTCGTGACTTTGGCAGGTGACCACCACAGCAGGTGCTATATGGGACTGCCATCCCTCACCAGCAAATCTATGTTTCATCTTCCTTATTCCTGACTGAGAGGAAGATGAGTGAGAGGAAGACCAGACAACAAGCCTGGGATTTAGAAGTGCCAAATACACCTCATAGCTTCCCACAGATGGGTTTTTTCCATATTCTTTCAGTGAGAAAGAGCAATTCATAATGCAAAACCAAAGATAAACTTTTGCACATGTTTGATTAAACAAATTTTTATGCACTGGTGCAGCAGTTACCTTTTCCCAAAGATAACATATTTTTTTCCTTAAACTCAAAATACTTTCCTGAATACTATAGTTAGCATATTAGGCTATAACAACACCATGAACATACATAGTCTGAGATGGTGCATTAAAAACAGTGGTGAGCAAGCTTCTAGAATAGTAGAAGAGCAGACCCTGAGAGCTTTAATAGTTCAAAGACGATCTACATTTCCCACTAACATGTAATTTTACATGGCACATGGGAAATAGTACTTTTGCCCTGTTCTGTCCTGGCAAGCTCTCACTTGGATACTATACCCAGGATTTGGTGCCACTTTCATGATGTGTGTGAAGAGATTCAGTGGAAAGCAGTGAACAATGAGAGATCTGGAAAGCATAGCATAGAAGGAAAGCTTGCATGAGGTAATATCACCTAAAAAATATATTTAAAAGCTACTGAAAAGAGAAATAATAAAATTTTCCTGCCCATCACAGATAGGAGGAAGGTGTAATGACCTTCATTCACAGTTAGGAGAATTCAGGTTGCATGCTAGCAAAAAGCACTTGAGCAGCAGAGGTAGAGATAGGAGAAAAGGGTGCCTGAGAGGCTGTGGACTCCCTTCAACCTCCTTACTAACAAATTTAATAGAAATACAGGTATAATTACTCTGACCACAGGCACAGCCTAGACAAGTTCATGACGTTCTTCAAACCTTTCTTGCTCCATGAACCTCTGATGTTAAAATTCTAGCCTAGGGGAAAAAAAATGAGCTTCCTTCCAACCATTAATGCAGGGTCAAAATACAAGTACAGCCTGATTCCACACATACTGGTGTAAATCAGGAGGTACTAAACTAGGGGCATTGGAATTACACTGCTATAAAGCCCAAAAAGATGGGCTTTAAGGTCATTAAGCTAGTGGATTTTACTGTAACAAAAGGCAATTTCTAGATATTTTTTGTACATATTCTAGTTTCTTTGTTGTGTTCTATTCTGGGTTTTATAGCCATAATGATATGATCACCTCATTGGCATGGTATCTAAGTAGTGTAACAAGTGAAAAAAATATTAGCCAGGAGAAAGATAAGTTGATTTGATGCCCCTGCACCATATTTTAAACCCACAAATAGAAGAATGGAGTTGAATAGATTATTTTTATTAAACTCTACATAGTAAACCACTTTCTCTGCCATCTGTGGCTAACAGGTTCACACAACTTTCTTTTTTAAACTGGCTAATTTTGTACAGGAAAAGTGTTAATTAAAAAGTAAACCAAAGGGCTTAGCTAAGTCTTCTGTTTTCTCTGTTTACCAGTTGCTCCTCTGTAACAGAGAGATCATAGTTTTCTCACCCCAGACATCTGCTATATGATTCATTAAGATTTGTAGGGTTGTTTGCATATTCCCAAGTTATTAAAATAGATCACAGCAGATAGTCCAAACACTACATTAGAAATTAATTTCCTTTTACTGGACTTTCAACAGAATGCAGAAAATGACTGGAAGATCTGTGGTTTTTCTTCCGAGATGTACAGTCAGCCAGTGTGACTGCCCATGCTGAGCCCAGAAAATAAATCTCTCAGCAGCCTCAGTAGGAATGGGATCAGCGAATAATTTCCCCATTTTTTCTACAGGAAGCCTGAGATCTTGCTGATACAGTGAGCACCCTCCAAGAAGTACCTCTATTTCTGCATTTGCATCTTCTCCCAGTGGATTTCCCTTACGAGTATCTCCCAAGAATCTGGTCTGCCCCTTTGTACATGGATAGACAGCTTTTATTACACACAGGAGTATCTTCCTATTTAGTGTGGAGGGTGAGCAGTCAGTTTGGTTTTGAGGTAATTTACTTATTGACAAGGATCAGCCTAATATCACGTATTGCTGGGTGGAAATATGTTCTCTTTGGGGTAAAGGGGATGCACAGTCTGCCTGGCTGCATGAAGAGCATCATCTCTTGTAGTTGTGATAATATTTAACTGCCCATGTGTGGACACTCTTATGCTAGGAGTAACAAGTGCAATTTCATGTTTAATCCACTTCTGAAGATAAATGCTGAGTGTGAGTAAACTAAGCAGGAAGAAGACACTCATATGCCAGGAGCTGATAAAGCAAAGTTTATTGGACTTAGCACAAAGACAAAGCAAGACATCCTGAAGTTGTGGATATCAAAAGCCGAGGTTCCAGGCATGAACAAATAACCTTAAAACCTTTGACCACACATAAGTAACCTGCAAACCAGGTATTTGGAAGTGTGAGGCAATGGCCACTAACTTACCAAGGGCATCTGGGTCAAAGTGTCCTCACTTTCAACTCTTGATGCCATTGACCCTAGACAGTTTGATTTGTCATGGGTTTACTTCCCCATAGCTGAGAGGGTACCAAGCAAGGACAGCTTCCACTGAACAGTACAGCAATGCTCTTGCTTCAGCAGTGCAATATCTTTGCTGTTTCTCATACTATTTGTTAATTGTGTCCTATAGTTTTGTTCCAGCAAAGCTTCTTAGTTTCCACTGTTTCAAAATACAGTTCTGAAGTAAGGAAGCCTTAACTTTGAATGCCAGATTATGATTTTCATTATTCATTGCCACAACAGACTATTAAAGAGGCATCTCCACCCAGCTAAATGCAAGATTTTGTCTCCAGGCATAATAATATCTCTGGGAGCTGTTCAGCTCTAGTAAGTATTTAAACATATATTTAAATTTAAGAATGCAAGTTGTCCCCTGACAACAGTCAGAATTCTGTTTAAAAGTAAATCACAGACTTTGTTTTCTTTTACTCAATACAGCATAGTTGCTATGGCAATAATCAGTAGCAGAGCACTTGTGGTGAAAGGCAGATTGTTTTGATTGTCGTGTGAAGATTCACACCTCCAGAATTCAATTCTTTTACTAGCTGCTGCTGTTCCTCCTGCTGGCTCAACAGACTGCAGTGAGTCTTTATTAGCTCTGATAAGCAGCACCAAGACAGTAATTGTCCCACTTGCTCTGGAAAGATAACTTACCACTGAAGAATTAACAAGGCCTTCACTCCCTGTACAAACACCCCAAAGATGATACTACAGAACAGGTGTTTAATGTACAACATTCTTCCTTTTCCTTGGAAAGGAAAGCTTTTAATTCACTTCCTCTATAAAGAACACCTGATGGACTCTATTACGCAAATGCTAATCACGATCAAAGCACTTCTAAGAAGGGATATCCAATCCCTGATCATAAATCTGTAGTCTCCTTGTGTGTGCACAGTATGTATTCAATCTTTATCAGAGTTTTATGGAGCAAAGAACAAATATAGTACCAAGTTGTCCACCAAGAACAGAAGAACATCCCCAACTAGTCAGACGGAAAAATAGATATGTGGGAAAGAATAAATGAAAAAATATCAAAGCAGAGAGATTAGCAAGACAGAAGTTGCTGTTTAGCCTTAAGGTCACAGGCAAGATCATAACAATTTTTGAAACTATTTGCTATGTTGAAGAACCTGAGACCTTTTAAACTACCTTGCTTTTATAAGGTGCTCTCAAGGCTGAGCTAATTTTTGGGAATTTTAGGAGGAAAACTTAGTTCCCCAACAGTGTCCTCATGACTCAGTTGAAGCACAGTTGGACTTTTGCAACTTTCAGATATTCCTTCCTCCCTTTCAGTGATATAAAAAAGTCAGATGTCCTTCCTTGAGGTCACTGTAGGATAATTAAGGATCCAGTGTCTTGCTACCACCTGCCACAAAGGCTCATGGTCTTTAAATGCAATCTGAATACAAGCTGCTACAAAAGACAACATCCCCACAAATAGTGAGGTCCCAAGGGTGTCCTGGGATTAAGGAGGCTCTGATGCTCTGTTTCAAAGGTAAAGCACACACAACATCCCTGAAATTCAACGCAAATGCTTCTCTGATAGCAAGAAATGCACACTAAGCCTTTGAGATTATAGCTGTAAAAAAAAAAGGTGGGTACTTTCCTAGCATGTTCCTAGGGAATCTGTATTTATTCTGACAGTTGTCATGTAAAAGGATGGTCACATGTCAATACAGGAAAGTAAATAAGTAAAAAGACTGAGGAGTGTTAGTAAAAGCTACTTCACAGTGGATCTGAAAAGCCACTTTATCTCTGCTTAACTCAGCTGGCTCTGAAATGGGAACACATCAGTGGAAAACTTTTTTGCCTCTGCTACCTATTTTTGGACTTGTCAAAAACATAGCACCTAGATTTTTCCAGTTTTCAGCTGATAAAATGCTTGTTGCTTTTCCCTATATACTTTCATACTGATAAGCTTTTTCATACACAGTAACTGAGCTTACCTTACCTCAGTTAAACTCTGGTTTATAAAGCCTGATATCTATGGTCCATTTAATAATGTTAGAGTCAGGTCTTACACAACTGTAAATGTCTGACACCTTCCATTTACACACTACACCAGTTTTAAGTCTCAGCATAGAAAGTGCAAGCTGAAAAAAACCCCAACAGAATCTGCTGCTAGAAGTGGCTGGACCTTTCCATAGGCATAGGTTGACATACATTTCATGCAAATATCAAAAAATTTGTTATTTCAAAGTATACCACATCTGGATCTGGTCTAGTACCTGAACCTGAAGCCTTAGGTACATGGGTTCCTCACAGGAAAAACTTTCCTGCTAACTTTTTAGTGCTTTGTCCTTTTGCTGTACTGTACTTCAAACTTGCAGAGGCAAAGGTAAAGTAGATAAGAAAAACATCACTGTAAAAAGATGAGCACAAAGGAATTTTTTAATAATCAGAACAGAATTTAATTTTTCGAAGTTGGTGATCTTCAGTAACTAATCAAAAAAAAATCTTACTTATGATTTTAAAATATTTTTGAAGTCTTTCACTGCCTTTAACACTGGACACTGACTCCAGTGATAAAGACAAATAAGCTTTGAGATGGAAACCAATATCTTCTGCTTGTCTAGAGAAATACCTGTGAACTACTTGCTGGGAAATCATCTCTGACAGGCACATAGGAAAGCCTTGTGAAAATGTTCTTCACAAACTCAAAAGTAGAGAGGCCCTCCAGCCATACACCTTCTACAGTTTGAAATGAGTATATATGACCCAGTATGAGAACTTGGTGTTCCTTTTGTTTAAACATTAATCAGCTTTTGCAGAAATAGAAGAGCAGTTTCATTCACTTCTTTTCAATTTATATAAATATTAGATTTCTAAATACATAAAAAATCTCTTTGCACTTCTAAAATTCAAATTACTACAAACCTGAAATGTAACTTCATACAATACTTAGGGAAAAAAAAAAAAACACATAACCAAAGCAGGAGGGAAAGAACTGAGACTATTTTCCTAATATATTTGTTCAGTCAGGTAAGTTTTCTACAGCTATCAGCAAATTTCCTTCAAGAACATTTCATTTGCAGTTCATCGCTATTAAAATGCCCCTAAACTTAGTCCTCCTTGCTACGTATTTGCACAGAAGCTTACAACTGTCAGAATTTAGTCTTGCTCAAGCAAAAAAATACAGCACCACCACTCCCTGCAAATTTTTATTTTCATAAAATTTTTGTTGTGTTCAAGCTAAGAGATATAAAACCATCTTAATCTTGCAGACCAAGTCAAACCATTCCTCCAGTAAAGAGCCACCAGGCAGCAAGGAAAATTCCTTTCTTGGCTCAGAAGTTTGTGAATGCTGAGAAGGAGAGAAGACCTCTGCGGGTAGGGGTAGTTCTTCAGCCTCCTCCCATCCCATACAAATCAATCAGCAGGACAGCTCTACACACCCTTCAGGACTGGTTTATATTTAGAAATTAATAAAGAATAAAAAATAGCAAATCATACACCCACTCTGCTTTGGGGAAACAAATGTGCTAATCAACGGAAGATATAAATAATCGCACGATGACACCACGAAACGCCTCATCCGGTGGCTTCAGTGCAAGCCGCTGTCCAGGGGCCAGCAGAGCTGCTGGATGTATTCCATTAGTCTCTTTCTCAAAGAGATGGATTTCTTTTTTTGGGAACAAGCCCAGTTCACCGAGGAGTCATTTTTTCCCCCATCAGCTGAGATCAGTCAGCAGTAACTCATCACTTCTCATCCAGCCCGTGCTCTGCACTTGTAGCTGAGACTTTCCAGCTACGATCCTACAGCTGGCCTGCAGGAAACACCCCCGAACTCCCTATTCATAGGCTGGGAAGGGCAGAGGAAGGAGAGAGCAGGCAATCAGATACAGAGAGATAGGGAAAGTGTGACCTTCCTTTCCCTCCACAGTGACACCATTTTCTCCCTCAGCTTTAACCTTTTAAAAACATTCAAGAAGCCATGTGAAAACTCACAACCTCAATACAATCTAGACATAATAACTCCAAATTTTTAGATGCAAAAGAATATCCGTAGTGCTATGATCTATAGATACTCGGCCAGAGAAGGTGAATGTGACCAACAGCTCCATGGAAGAGCCATTCTGGGTTATTATTCTACCAGTTACAGGCACTTCTATTAAAAACTGGTTTCATGTTTCATTAAATAAATTTTACGTGTTGTCCTGAGAGCAAGAAAACAGGAGTTTTGAGTACCTAGCTCTCCCACAGTCTGCCTTTAGGGAATGTATGAAAAATAAATCTTTATCAGGGACTTCCATGCCCCCTCCCTGCCAGTGAGGTTGGCATGAGGCAGAAGTCATAATGCTTCTAGACACTCATGTGAAAGGACTGAGAAGCCTGGAACATTCAGGTGCTAAATGCACTGAGGATGCCAAGTTTATATGATGGCTAAGCAGGGGCCCAGGAAATTGCAACAAAAGTTACTTGATGTCTTGCCTTGGCTATCCAAAGCTGGCTCGGTCAGTCTACTCAGCTTCACAAGAACTTGCAGGCATGTGACTGGAGGTGTACAGGAACAGAAGAGCAAAATAATGTGATGGGCTTATAGGAGGGAACTGAGATTTTTACTGCTTTCCAGCTGCCTTACAAGAAAAGAGTGCTCAAACGGCAGGCTTGTGCTCTCAGGGTGGTCCACAGCAGGGTGTAAAATTGTTGGGAAGTTTATTTACATGCTCAGTCATTCCCTCTGACCTCTAATAAGAGAAAAAACAGCATGAAATGAGGCTCCAGCTACTGTGAGGAATTGCCAGATAATGAGATTTATGGAAGAGTAAACATGTTTATACACATCCCTCAGCAGTTAACCGCTTTATCGAGCAAAAGACACGCTGCCACTTAAAGGGTTAAAGCAGATTCATAATTAGAAGGGAGACTGCAAGACCCTGGTGCAATCCTGCTGTGCAGGACAAGGAGGAGGGTGGTGACTGTGTACACACACCTTCTTCTGCTCGGAGCAACAATATTTTTATTCACTTTCCAGATAACAGAATCAAAGTATCATAGAGCAGTTTGGATTGGAAGGGACTTTTAAAGGTCATCTAGTCCAAGCCCCCTGTCATGAGCAGGGATACCTGCATTTAGATCAGGTTGCTCAGAACCCCTTTCAACTTGGCCTTGAAAGCTCCCAGGGACTTTAGAGCAGCTATAAATTGCAGAGCTTTTTGTTAGCTGGGCTGTCACTGCAGTCCTGATTCAAGTTAGTGCAGTAGCTCAAAGCCTGTGCTGCCCAGTGCCTTTTTGAGGAGCAGCACAAAGGGAATGGGTTTGATCCCAGCCTTGGCATTAACCTGGCTGCCAGCACCTTTGCTGGTAGTTTCTGGGCACACAGAATTTTTCTTAGTCCTAGCAGGACAGAGATGAGGCACTACTGCAGAAGACACTGCTTGGTCTGCCTCCATTTGGGGAGGAGTGAATGTCTGTCTCTTGGGCTGGAAATTCTACCAGCATTTCTCCGTATTTTACCTATGGTTTTCTCAGAATTAGGGGTGGTGGAGGAAACAACTCTAAATAATGACTACAATGCAAACATTTTACAGTAGAAAATGCACCACCCTAAAAGTGGCACAGAGCCATCATTTTAAATTACACAGGGCAAGAGCAATGCCCCTTTGGAAAGTGTCATTTCAAGGTAATGAGGATGTTGAGGAAAGACTGTGTGACCCTGCCCATATTTATTCTTCCGAATAGGTGGGGATGTGTCACAAATCACTGTTACCAACCCGAGCCACTCCTCATTCCCGCATGGCAAGCTCTGCCTTGCCACCAAAGGACAAAGCACAGCCACCACCATAACTATTTCGTAGGAGCAGTTCACAGCCAGTTTATCACTGTGAACCTGCAGCGGGGAGCCAACAGCGCCAAAAGACAGAAATAGCAGCACTCCCTTTATCACCCAGGGTTTCACAATGCACAACGCTGTGCCAAAAGGTCCATGGATAGGGTGGGGAGATTCCACTCACCTTTGCCCAGGGCTCATCACTTAGTCTTGATTTTTACAAGAACTGTAAGAAAAGGTTTCTCATTTCCAGGTGTGGCAACATGACCCTCACCTCTCAGTTCAGGATGTGGTCTTTACAAAGACTGGACTGCACGAGATGCATCCTGAGGAAAGGGTGCAGCGCCGCTCTGCGTGACTGCTGCCTGAGACCATGAGCTGAATTAAACTTCTGGAAGGAACGAGGGGAAGCAAGACTGCCCCTGATCTGAGATATACAGCCACCTTTAAACAGTACTTTGGTCGCACAGTCTGACTGTCTTTTTACCATTGCAGCATCCCACTCAGGGAGAATTGCTGCTCTAAGTGGAAAGTTAAGAGCTGATGGAGCTGAGCTTGGCCAAACTTCCTATTGCGATGGCCAGAAGCCAAGTATTGAGAATGGGCTGAGTCCCCCCAGCTCTGCAGGTTACCCATCCAGAGCAAAACTGCCCTTGATGGTAAAAAGGCACACATGGATGTTGGAAGAACAAAATGCTGCACTCAGCATCTTTCCTGGGAATAGAGAGCACTTTCCTCATTCACATTTTTCCATCAACAAAGTATGTATCTGTCTCCCGTATGAAGAAATAAGAGTTATTACCATTCTGATGTTTCAGATACCAAGTGTTCTGCATGGAGAACTACAGGACCACAAATCATATCTATTTAAAGCACAATAAATTGTTCAGGGCCACATAAAATAAAACCAAACCAAATTTCCCATGAGTTTCATCTGTGAAACCCCAGGAAACTTCCACTTTAGTTAAGAACTAAACAACCCTGATTTGGCACACCTAATGCACCTGCTGTTCTGATCATACAGGGCTTAGCACATGCACAATCACTACTTTGAGTGTTCACATTTCTTAAATTTAACTCAGAGGTTAGCTAAGTAGCCACATGTGGAAAGGGAAAGAGTGCTGTGAATTAATCATAAAAATTACCTGACTTAGCTTCAAGGAACAGAGCTCTTTCAAGAGCACTCAAAATCTAACAGCATCCCATGACAACTCCATGGAGTACAACTCCAGCCCTTAATGGCTGTTTCCTAAAACTAAAATAAATTAAGCTCTGATATTATTTCATGGCAGTGAAATCCAAAAGAAAACTGTGTATTGCTCAGAATATTGCTATAGATTTTTTATTTTCCTGCACACAGATGAGTGTCAACAGTTGCTTTCTCTTTATCTACATGATTTGAATGATCTCAAAGGCAAAAGCCAACACCCCTATAAAAGTTATTTAATTTTCTGAGCTTCACCCAAGTCCAGTCCTCACTTATATTCTGCTTCTTTACATCTGCTGTTACTTTTAGTATCTTTATTCTTTAGAGGTATAAAAATTGATTTACAAGATTCATCGACAGTGAAGCAAGAACTAACCTGAATTACTGACTTCCCAGTGCTGCACACTGAAATCTTTCATTCTTTCTACCTCAGCTCTGCTCTAACTCATCCCTACCAGACATCCAGCAGCCAGAGTACACACCAGCTGACACCTTTTTCCTTGAGTTCCAGCAGTCAGTTTTCCAGGATGCCTGAAGACAACGTAAATCATATTACCACCAAAGAAAGGAATAAGCAAGACAATTTCAGCCAGGAATATTCTGCCTCTCCTGTACAAAGCAACTTCCTTCTCTGCTGAGATTAGTCAAACTGTTCAGAACATGACTGCATAAGGGAAAAACTACCCTCAATTCACTTTGAAGAAATGTCTTGCAGGCATTACAGTATAGTCTGTCCTTAAATATCCTCAGCAGCAAGAAGAAAAATGCTTCACATTTCCAGATGTAAGATGTGCAAAGAAGGTTAATTAACTAAAGTTCATATACTGCTTTGAAGGTGGAAAGACCTTCAAAGGAAGTGTTAAGAACAGATAACCAGAATCCATCTTTTCCAACCTCATAAAAAGCAGATCAATGCTGCATAGAGCACATACAACAGAGAAATTGTCCATTTGTAGGATTATTCATCTAAGTTTTCTTAGGGCCTAAGGAGTTGCTTCAAAACTGGTATTTCCCAGCTGTCTCTCAGTCAGAGTTGGGATTTCACTACCTATTTTTGGCAGGTAACCCAAATGGGACATTGGAGTCAATATGGCTGGAACATTACAACATTTTCTTCAGTATTCAGGGCTCATAGTTTTGATGTTTAAAAAGCAGATATCTGACAGCTCCCTCAAAAAGTAATTTTTTCTGTATCTGTCCAAATACATAACAGCCCAGCTAAAAATGCTGTTTCTGTTGCACAGTATGCCCATTAAATAATTCATGTCACTGACTAACACTGGTGAGAAGTGGTATGTAGCAGCAAAGCAACAAGTGAATCTGAGTACATGACAGCACATTTCTAAATATTAATTAGGAAGGAATGAATGAGCATATTTAAAAATCAAACTGAAATGTACCTCTTGCTGTATTTTGTCTTTATCATCCTTACATCCAAACTGCATGAACTGCAATAACTTAGCCAAACCTCAGGAAGAACAATGGGAGGAATTACTTTCCTCCCGCAGTGGTGAACAACTACATCTCTCAAGCAAAGAAGCACAAATTGCTTTGGTAAACCATGTTCTAATTCCACTGTGGAAAAGAGGCATTAATCAGACCCTGAGAAGAAAAGTGAGTCTTAGGCAGGATGACAGCAAAACCAGAAGCAAACCAATGTCAAAGGTAGACATTGATTTGTATCAGCTGAGAGGAATGTGACCTCCTCCAAACCCTTGTTCTCAAAATAAGGTAGTTTTATTATTTGGATGAGTGGATGGTGTTAAGCACTACAAATACATAGCATATTGTGCTATAGAGAGCTCAGGAATCTAAAAAACTTGTTTGCTTTCAGGCAGCTCATGGAAAGAAACTGAACAAGGACATAAGGTCTCAAGACCAGAGTGAGATTTTATTTGGAAGTACTTAGATCACTACCTCAGCTTGCCCTTCTAACTGAAGCACCACACTATGGAAACTGCATATCTGAACAGTTATGCACATACACACACTTATTTTTTAAACATAAAGCAAAGGTTTCAAAACATATCACCAACAGAGGAAGCAGCCTGAAGCTCCTTGCAGGGGTCAACTGATTAGAAGAATCTCACAGCGCTGTAACAGCAAATTTCTCTCTGAATCACCAACAAACTCTGGTGCATGTGGCTCTTGCAGGATGCTGGTTTTCACCCCTGTCCCATTTGACTCAAAGCCACAAAGGCCAGAGATATATTTGACCATCCAAAAAACCTCTCCACACTATGCATTTGAATAGGCAAAATGACAACTCTGGAACAAAATGATTAACTGTAGGAATATAATTATGGGTTACAAAAGTATCCTTTCCATCCTCAAAAAGCTTAGTGCAGTTCTGGAAGCAAACCAGCACAGGAAGGAGGCAATTTCCTAATCAAACTTTTAAGGTTATCTTATCAAACCTACTCAATGTCCTCTGCTTGGAAAACTGACTACAGTGTCTCCTTGGAAAAGAGTGACTAAAATACAGCCATTCAGCAGGACTGAAATTACCTTCTTTCAGCTAATATGTACTCATGTGATATTTCACCACATGGATATTTCACCACAAAAATCAAAAATCCCAAAGAGAATCCCAGACAGACATTCTGCTGTTTCCACCAACAAACATTTTGGCATTCATCCTATTTTCATCAGTGAAACACAGTCAATTCACTGCAGCCAAGTAAGTGTAAACAAATCAGTTTTAAAAAATTAAGGCAACATTAGGAAATGTTCCTTTTCTTTTTTTCTTTTTTTTTTTAATAAATCAACCCTTGAAAATGCCATTTTACAGCTGCAGAAAATGTGACTTTGCCTGACTTTTTTGTTGGGTCAGCCAAACTTGAAGAAAAAGATGAAATCTCTCTGTAACCAAGGATATACTACTACTTTAATAAGTACTATTCCCAAAGGAAGAGAAAATCCAATTACTAAAATGGTAGCATAATCTTTTCATTATTATTTCAGGAGCTCAGTGTTAATTGGACAACTTTAGCACCCTGTGAATGAATGTGTGTCCTCATTTCACAATAAATAGTCTGTAATTACTTCCATTTCTCTGAAACCAGGAGATGGCTCTCATTACCAATACCCTGGAAGAAGCCTTTTATGGGCTTGAGTAATATTACAAACCCCTTCATTAGCATATCTGGGTACCCCACAGAAGCTCTTACACACAGAGAAATGTTCTTATTTCTTCTTTCATGTAACTGCACAAAGGCCCCACATACCTATGGGGAAGCTGCACAAGTGCTTTTGCCTCAGCCTCCACTGCAGCCCAGCATCTGTCTGTCACCTCATGTCCCACTGGGCTCCTGGAACCAGTCACTCCTGCCTTCACTTGAGCCAAGCTACAAGGTCCAGCACACCTTACCAAAGTACAGGACAAAACCAGAGTAGTAGCATCCAGCTGAGAAACCTTGGCCTGATCCACCTGAGAAGTCACAACTTCCATCTTCCTCTTTCCACCTCAAACAACTGCCCATCCAGGACCCTTGTGCTCCTTTCTGTGGGGGCATCTGCATTTTCTAGGATATTATTAAGGACACCTGGTGCCAGAGAGAAATCCTACAAGGCAGGCTGTGCTGTGTTTAATTCATCACCCACCAGAGAACACACCTGTCAGGTGTGATCCACCACCTCCTGTGTTTTAAAGAAAAAACTTGATCTTCCACACAGAAGCCCAGGAGCGTGCATCTGCCCCTCTGGACTCATCACTGACCCCTGTAATTGCTTTCTTGCACATGAACACACACACACACTAGTTGTCTTGGTAACTTGGTGTTTCTGAAGCCAAAAGATGTTGCAACGCATCATCCAAGTCCCACACTAGAAGGACATTTTTTCAGAATTTGGAGTAATTTTTCTCCTTCCAAACCTCTCTGTTGAAGAGAGCAGAAACAGATGCACAGCATAACAGTAATGTTTTATACAAAGGTAAAGATTATTTGCAGATTTAGCATAGTTCTTATTCTCTCCAGCATCATGCTGTTCTCCTGTTAACTGCAATGATGTGGCAGAGCTCAGGCTGAGTTCTGTACTGTCAGGCTGCTTTGACTGAACTGGTATTCTCACACTGATTGCACTTTTCCCTCATAATCTCCAAATCCATTTCAGCTGCTCCTTTTCAGGAGGCAGCACCATGTACATAGCTTCTGGCTGCATAACTAGCCTTCAGCGGCATTAAGATGCACCCTGTTTAACCAGTTATAATCTTGCAGGGCTTCCCTCTTTTTCTCATCATACCCCAATCTTCACCTAAATTACAGCTGTTACCAGCAGAGATTTGATATAGTCTAGAAAAAAGCCTTGTGCATTGTTGTCCCTTAAGTACAAACATCACCCTACAAGCACAAAAACAACTGCTTGGAAAGGAGGGGAACAGAATTCAATGAAGAAAATGTCCCAGAATTTCCTGCAACTGTTGTTGGTTTCCTTTATTCATTATATTTAGCTTTCTATAGAATATTTAATTACCATCTAGGGTGGAAAATGAGAACCTGGTCTTAGTCTAAGACTAAGAAAATTTAATTCCATTTTCATTTTCCACTCTCCCACCACACAGAAAATCCACAAATTTAATAAGAAGCTTGAGGACAAGTATTTGGACACTTCAGCCAGCATCCTTTCTGCACCTGAGACAGGTGTTGAGCTCAAACTTTAAGTCTGAGCAAAAACTGAAACCTCAGCCCTGAAGACAAGCCTGGAAAGAAACTCCTCACAGTTCCCTCACAATCCCACTGTCTTTTTTCCCCCTTTTTCCTTTATTTGTTGTTGTTACTAAGAGGAAAGTCTTAAGTATCTGACTCTGTCTGTGAAGTTGAATCTTAAGGTACAGCTTTCTGAAGTTTGGAAATTCAAAGCTTGGGGTTTAAAACCAGTCTAGCTTACATTCTTGATCTGCACACTTAGGCATGAAACTTTCTCTGACCCAAAAAGTCAAGTCTGTTTTCATCCCTGAGAGTTTTACAAATACGTTTTGCTTTGCCTAACTTACAAACACTGTGGGAACATGGACATAGCTTGATTTGAATATAAACATTAGAGCTGATGCGTCCCCTCTCCAGACTACATGCAGCATGTAGCTGCTTTCAGGCATTACACAATAACTGGGTACAAACATAAACAGGCTGAGAAAAGATGTGAAATAGAACAGAAATGACCCTATGCTAACTGAGAGCTGTAAAGGACAGCAAATTTATTAATACTTCCCCATGTAATCATCTCACACCAGTGAGATAATCTTCTAGTGTTAAACTGAACTGTACCCACTCCATCAGTAAGAATTAACAGATGGAGCAACTCTTTGAGATTTACATAACAGTAATTAAACAAATCCTCACAATGGCCACATGATTTCATGCTCAAGCCAGGGCAGTCTACAAAAAAAAAAAAAAAAAAAAGCTTTACTGTCATGTTGGAAAATTCCAGAATGTGTAGCCTGAAGAGCTCTGCAAAAACCATCAGCCTCATAACTTGGATAAGCCTGCCTTGTCCTCCAGGATATCCTCTTCACTGTCCACTTAGAGTGAGAGCAGAAAACTCAGAAATAAAGTAGCTGTAATAGACACCTTCATTATCTGTAGCAAGAAGTCCTTGGACTGCTTCATCTGTAGATGAGACAGTTATCCATACATGTTGCTACACTGGAAGTCAGTCTGAATAAAAAACATGGGAAAGCTTGTAACTCTTAGTATACAGAAAAATTCTGTGTGGCCACAGAGAGCTCCTCCTGCCCAAAAGTTAGCAGCATCATTAGCACCAGCAGACTTCCCTTACCTCTCTGAGGTGCTGGACACAAGGATGATGGAATGGCGTTTCCCAGAAATTCACTTCTCAGGAATCTTCACAGCCATGCTGGACACAGGGCCACCACCTCCATATCCCACATCTGGGGGTCCTGCAGAGCTCTGTCCCCACCCCAATACTCCTACTGGCCCAGAATCATGTAGATGACACACAGACCTTTGTCTCCAGCAAGCAAAATACATCTGGAAATCTCCCACCACATTTAATGCAAAGATAAAATCAACCCCTGAAAATAAATGAATATCATTGAACATGAACCTAGACCAGATCCAGATGGGGGAATGTATCCATTGATTTCTACTAATTGTGCAATATCCCATCTTCTGTTGCTGAAAATGTCTGCCCCCCACATGCCCATGTCACCCCCCAACTAATGAACTGTTTCACAGCTTTTGGGTTCTTATGCCCTTCCAAACAGGATGTGTAAAGAGAAAAGAAATTGGCAGAATGAAACACACGCTGATATAGCTGTTTATTCCCCTCCCAGCTGAGTGACTGGGGATTAAAAACACCAAAGCAGGTGTTCTGCTGCCACCACATGGTCATGAATAGACCTAGGCGTTTTTAAAATAAAATCCTGCCTCAGAATGCTTCAATTCACTAAGCCTATAATTTTTACGTATTTCCTTAATATGCCTTCAACCGGGGGTTCTTGTACCGAATCCATCAAATGCTCACAGTTCCAACCTGGCTGCTAGGTCTGCTCTGCAACCAGGTGGCATCCAGAGATGTGAGGTGTATCCAACTCTTGTTTCTCTTTTTGTTGAAAGTAAACAAGTTTGTGATATACCTGATTAAAAAAAATCTCTGCAAACAAATGAGGAAGAATTGGAAGTGGTTTTATATTTTGGTGACAAACATTTCCAACAGTTCATTCTCTCAGGAGTAAATTCTAGGTTCTATTAATGAAGAGTGATGCTGTTTGTGATGCAGCCAATATTTTTGTGCAGGGATGTAAAAACCACCATCACTGAGGTCTTGAAGTGACAAAAGGCTTTCGTTTCAAAACAGTCAGAGAACAGGTATTAGGATGATTCAGCTCCCTACCATAAAGAAGGTTATAATTAAAACATTTATTGTCACCATGAATATCAAGAGAATGTAATGACCCCATGGTTTAAAACCACTTAGTAGGCTGAAGATAGTTCCTCAGGCTTTCAGTGTAGTATCAATCCTTGTCTGATTATCAGTGAAGTGCAATATGGGTGGATGGGACCAACTGTTTAGAGTGAAAATGAGCTGATTCCCCTTTACAATATCAGTCTCACCACGTGCTTGCTACTTTGTCCCTCAAGGTAATTCACAAACCAGAGCTGCTGTCATATATTACCCCTTCTCCAATCTGTCTTAAAGGGACAGATTTTTAAGGCAGGAATGTCAAAAATATCAATGTCTGCACTGTCAAAAATATCAAGGTCTACACTGACTTTCTCATCCAACATGAAAAACTGACTTAAACATTAGCATTTGGGATGATCATTTTCAGCTGTCATTGATATTACTTGACCAAAGTTCAAGAAAGGAATGGCCACAATAGCAGCCTGTATTCTAAGGAGCCATTTTTGGTAACTCAAATTGCTGTCATTTATTTCACTCTAAAGTACTTCAGTTGACATATGTCAGTGCTTTATTGTGATGGTTTTGACCTCAGTGAAGAACTCGTATGAATCCTTTGCTCCCTCCCTGCCTATGCCTGAGGCTTTCATCCCACCAAATGGCAAGTTCAGGTCTCTCACAAGCCAGCAGTTGGTCCACACCAATCCAGACTGCAGCCTGTGTGCCACCCTGTGAACACGTCCCACGTTGCTGGACCACACCGTGGCTGCCAAGCCGTATTTCACACCATTGGCTCTTCTGATCACCTCTTCTTCTGTATCAAATGCTACCACACATGTCACAGGACCAAAGATCTCTTCTTGCATGCAACAAGATTCATCCTTGACTTCAGCAATAACTGTGGGCAGCATGAAATAGCCTTTCTGGTTGCCAGGTGGGAGGGCCAAAGGATCCACTCCCTCCCCACAGAGGACTCTGGCTCCTTCAGCCTGGGCTTTTTTCACGTAGTTCCTTACCTGGGGAAGCAGCAGAAAAAATCACTGCTAAAGGACACCAAATCCCAAGTGTTTACACATCAGCAGGGGCCTCTGAACAACTCCAGCTGGAACATGCTGCCCTTTTACAATAGAGGGCAGCATTCCCTAAATTTAATTATGCTTCTCTGTATGCCAAGCTGTGTATTTCTTGCTGAAAAAAGTAATTGTTTTCTCTTTCCTAACGCTTACTAGCCTAGCAGACAACACTGCTGGCCCTTCCCACTAAGTATTGTCAAAAGGGTAGGACCATTGGTGAAAATACAAGTCGTTCCAGAGCCTCCCTCCCTTCTCTCAGGAGCCTGGGTAGTTTGCCATGTATCCCACACAATGGTTTCACTCATTTACTCCAAGGAATCAGTAGTATTTTCCTGCCTCACAGGCAAGGCTTTTTAAATGGTTACATGCCACTAGGATGATGAAGCCATGAATGCTACAGAAAATCGCATCAATAAATGATTAAAGATGTTTCCATGGCTGCTGCTACCATATGCTTGCTACCTTGAACACATTGGATGTCCTGTTGATCTGCTTCTGCTGTTCTGCAGTTGTTGCCTGGCTTCTCTCCTTACAGAAAAACCACAGAGATACCACTAAAAGCTAAGGACTTCCTTAGCTTTTTCTTCTTTTACGCACCTTGGTAGGTAAAACTTGGAAGCTCTCTGTGGTGCTACAGACTAAGGACCTCAGGAAGTGGGTGTTTCTACCACTCTACTTCAGAGCAACAGAACTTGGAGAGGCATCAGGAAAGCATATCAAAGGTCTGGCTTTCTCTCACTCTGTGGTTTTTGGGTCTGCTACTTGCGTCAGAGATTTCTGGGATATATGCATCTGCTCTCCCTGAACTCTGACACCACAACTTTCATTTCATATAAGCCACTAAATCAGACTGTGTCTAACTGTGCACCATCTCAGCTGCTCTCCACACATTACAAATTTCTGCAAGCAGTTCTAGGAAAGTGTTTTCTACAAGCCAGAATTTGCCAGAGTGATATAAAAATAAAACTTTTAACTTGTCAACTAACTTATTAGGCAAATTAAGTGATCTTAGCAAATTGAAGAAAATGTTGTTGAACAACATTTGTGAGTATAAATTCAGGACTATTTGTGAGTATAAATTCAACCATTAGAATTATCACATTCAAACAGGAGAAAATATTCTTTTGCTGTTTTTAATTATTTTCCCCAGGGACTTTGACTTTTTTTCAGAGCAATCACATGATCCCAAGCCACAGGCAAAAGAAACTTCATTAAAAAGATACCTTATAATGGCTTTGAGTTATCATCCCTCAGAGCTAATCTTGGAGATGACAAGATCCTTTCCTGCATAGTCCTGAAATTACCTTTTGTAGCACTCTAAAACATGAGATGAAGTCACATAAACACCATGTAACATCACCTTTTGTAGATGTTCTTTACTTATCAGTGCTCCCACATCCATTGTAGGATCTGAGGGATTCCCAGTCTTCCACTTTTTGGCCTCTGCCACAAACCTCTTCAAAAACTCATTGTATATTTCCCTCTGAACAAAGATCCTGGAGGTGCAGAGACAGATCTCACCCTATCAAAAAGAAAGAAACAAACAAGAAATCAACTACATTGGTTCATATAACATTGCACTATTGACATGTATTAGGAATTACAACCCAATTCACTTGTCTCTCTGCATCCTCACGAGCACAAACTATGTTAACAAGCACTGCAACATGGGATTTTTTTTCCAGGTAAAAAACAAAGAGAGAAGGAAAAGGCAAAACAGTATCAGTATCATGCAATCACTGACATAAGTAAATTTAATTTTATCAATTACATGTTTACTTCTCCAACATATATTACAGGAAACATTATTTCTAACTCTGAATGATCTCTCTCTTCATTTCCTGATAATCTTTTTCTGATACTAAGCTATTTTTCTAACACTTGCCCAGATACAATTTCCTGGCTTTGGTGCTCTCTCCTGAGGGTGATGGTGAGGGAAAAATAATGTTGGTAAAATTTTGTGGAAAGTCCCCTAATTTAGTTCTAACAAATCAACAAGCTTCCCACTTACTTACACAGTGGGACTTAAAGCAGCTGCTTCCCTGAGAGATAAGAAATGAATGTACTTTGAGAGGAGCAATAACACCTTTTTATCTTCTGATGGAGAGTATGAAGATGAGCATTTTATTACATTGCTTCCCTCCTTGTGGAATAATGAAACCTTTTTCATATTTTTCTGCTTAGGACTTTCTTAAACACAATATTGAAATAGACCTTGACAATTTGAGATTCAGACCCAAAGGCAGGTGCAGCACACACACAAACCCTCAGACACGGTCCCATCCTGCTGCCAACGGGGTTTATGTGTTACAGGAGCAGGAGGCACCTGGTTGGCAAAGCTGGACCTCACGGTGGTGGGGATGCACTGGCTCAAGTCAGCATCATTGAAGATGATGGCAGGGTTTTTGCCTCCCAGCTCCAGCGAGAGCCGCTTGCAGTGTGGAGCACTTTTCTCAGCGATCCGCTGGGCCGTCAGCGTGCTGCCCGTGAAGGAGATGAGAGGCACGTCGGGGTGGCACACCAGGGCCTCTCCTGCCTTGGTGCCTGTGCCAAACACGATATTCACCACCCCAGCAGGCACCCCTGATGGGAAAAAAGGCACGCGGTCATTGTACCCTCCTGTCCCTCCAAGGGTGTCACTACATTTTGTTTTGTCCCTGAAGTTAGAAAGTTTCCAGTAGCTCATGGGTGAAATATACTAACCCTTAACTTCAGTAGTAGCTGAAATCCATTATGTTAGACAGCTCTATGTGTCATGGGTTAAATGATAAAACCACTTCCACGAATCAAGCTTGTCTGATGTGCATCACCAGAGATGCAGTGTACAGTCATTCAGGGAATAAGCAATTGTTCTCCCAGTTTTAATTAACAGTGCACCAAATACAGCCGTGACACAGTTACCAAGAGCTGATTCTCACTCCTTTATTCTCTCATGGCTCCTTTGCTTGCACCACAGATTTAGGACATCCATAAATGGAGTGCCGGAGGCACAAAACTTTTCATCAGAAGATAGTGGAAAAAAATGAGCAACAGCTGGACTGGGGAGACAGGATAGCATGAAGACAGAGAAAGCCTTTTGTTCTCCAGTGCAACATTCAGCTACTGCAGTCTTTCCCAAAGCCTTTGAGCACCTCCTGATTTCGGCAACTAAAAAAAACTGGTGCACAGACAAACATTTCCACTCTATTCCTGTTCCTTAGCATGCTACAGTACTTACCTGCTTTCTCCAAGAGTTTGCACATCATCCAGGCTGTGACAGATGTCATCTCACTTGGCTTGGCAACCACAGTATTTCCACATGCAATGGCAGGAGCTATTTTCCAAGTCAACAAATACAATGGCAAATTCCAAGGACTGATTAAACCAGCTACAAAACAAAACCACAAAGACAGGAGGTCAGTCTGCTGGGATACAAAACTCATTTCTCTGACCTCAAGCAGGTATACACCAATTCAGATCTATGAAGGGAATTCGGCCATGGCTTTTATTTCCAGACAAATGTACAATAAATTTGCGGCATTCCTCACAGGGAGATAACTTCTTAAAAGACCTGTGCAAATGATTCTAAAAGAGATCAGCTGAACTCTCTGAATAAGTTTTGCTGCTTCTTCAGGACAGAATCTTATATTATCAGGAAGTTTTTTAGTGTTTTGCAGGAACATTAATGCAAGGTTAGCCATAACAATAATTTACAACAATTTGTCTGTGGTAACACTTTGTGCTAACAAAGAGCAAGTGAAAGTAATTATAGAATGGTTTGGGTTGAGAGAGTCCTTAAAGATCATCTGGTTCCAAAGCCCCAGGGACACCTTTCACTAGAACAGGCTGCTCAAAGCCCCATCCAGCCTGGTCTTGAACACTGCCAGGGTTGGGGCATTATCAATTTCTTCAGGCAACCTGTACCAGTGCCTCATCACCCTCACAATAAAGAATTTCTTCCTAACATCTAATCTAAATCTACCCTTGTTCACTTTGAAGCCATTACCTCTTGTCTTATCACAACATGTCCTTGTAAAAAGTCCCTCTCTTTTAAGCTCTCTTGCAGGTCTCCCAAAAGCTTTCTCTTCTCCAGGCTGAATGTGCCAGCTCAGATCATATTCCTGCTTCCTCCTGCTCTTTAAAGCTGCTTCTTATTTTTCAGTTTTAATATTAAACAAATTCTGTATAACATATAATACACATTTTCCAGATAAATTTTAGTCTAACTTATGAGTGTTAGAATTTATCTCTATATAAACTGTTGTTCCTATGAGTTGCTGAATAACCAGAATTATTTCCAGTAATTGCCTTTAAGAATATTTTCACTTTATATATTAATAGAAAATTATGAAAAAAAATCAGTAATTGTCATGTGTGACGCCTTACAAAAGCCACGTGATTGGAGCAGATTCAGTGAAGGACTTTTCCTTATGAGAATACTTTTACCAGAAAAAGTCATGTTCTTCACTGCTCAAGAGAAGTTTTAACAGGGTCGTCTAAGATAGCCAATTTTATGTTATACGTAATTCAAGCGTAAATGTGGAGAACTCTCATATTTAATGTTATATGCTATTTGTACTATATGTATAACATAACCTAATAATGAAATCGTTACAACACGGTTACTTGTCAGCTCAGGACAAGCACTTTATTTTCTGAAGCAGCAGCAGCATCTAGTGGCCGAGTTCAGCAGTTCCCCAGCTAGAGTGGTTTCTTCATCCACGTGGACTCGGGTCACAGACTACTACTGCTTTCCCAAAGGAGAGGGGGATCCCACTCTCCCCACTGGAGCAGGAGCTCAGTGCTCTGCACATCGCACTGATCCACAGCTGTAATGCTCACCCACAGACACATACGGACAAAATACAAGAGAGATTGTGAAGGTGAGAGCAAGAGATTAAGCTTTTTAGGTATACAGTCTTTTTTCTTTTTTTTTTTTTTTTTGCCATGAAGTTACATAACTGATTTTACATGGAGTTGCTGATGCTTTAGCAGACAAGCCCATGTTTAGCAAATGACTCTGAGATAATAAATGCTTTCAAAAACATCTTTGCTGAGCCCCTATGGAGGCAGACATTCTGCCAAGCTTTTCAGCATGTGAGGATCATCATACCAACTCCCACAGGTGCCCTCGAGGTGTAGTGCACACAGCCCATGGTTGGCATTTCGGTGCATTCTGTGACGTGATGAAGGATGGAAGAGGCGAAGAATCGGAAGTTGTACACGGCCCGAGGGATGTCCACCGTTCTGGCAAACGTAATAGTTTTTCCTGAAACAAAAACAAACATGCTACTGTCATCATGGAGAGAAACACTGCTTTATAGTCTGCTCTGAAAGTTGATTTGTGTGTCTTTTGGGAAATGTCTTTTGTCCTGTGCCCAAGTAATCGCCAGCACAGTACTAATGTAGTCAATGATAACAGCTCCCCTCTAGTAATTCCAAATATCTGACAACTGAAGTCAAAGTCAGCAATTCCGAAAAGCAAGACTTGCCCAGGAATCCCAAATTCAAAACCTCCTCAAGGTTCATCCACATCTACTCCAATCTGCTGCAATAGTTCATGCCATTAAAAAAAAAATAAAATTCATCCAAATCCTCCATTTCAATATTCAGCAAGGCACACTTATTTGAGATCAACAGTTCCAGTTCTTACCCTGATCCTTTGACTCTGCTTGTGCGAACGCTTCCAGGTCATGTTCAATCAGGTCTGCCAATTTGTTCAGGATCTGAGATCTTTCCAATGGACTTTTTGAGGACCAAATTGGGAAAGCATCTTTGGCAGCTTTGACAGCAGCTTCCACCTAAAAAAGCAAAATAAGGATGGTGAATGCTAATGAAAGGCTTAAGAAAATATTAAACACTCAGCAGATAAATTCATATTTCAGAGACTAATAATCCAGACCACATTGCTGGGGAGATGACAATTCCTTAGAGCTTCTCCATTTTATCAAGACACTACCTCATAACTCAATAAGTATTACTGAATCAGAATATCTAGAAATTTCCACTGGAATTCTTGTTTTTCTCCAAATTACAGCAACTTGTGGGCCACCCTCCAGGCCTGAAAGAAATGCTGGAATGGTCAACTGGAACCAGCAGGTGCCACTGGCCAAAACAAAAAGAATCTTTTTTCTCATAGAGGAAAGAGCAAGAATCTCCCCAGAGCAAATGCAGCTTCAGTCTAAACATGCATAACCCTTGCAACATAAGACCTCAGCCACAGCAGGCAATGATGAAAGTTAAGGGGCTGGATGCTCTGCTAGCTCTTGATTTCCACCATTTGGATCAAGCAAGGACTAAGAATGTATTTAGGGAATGGACACTCGGAGGAAAATTATATCTTACCTGATCACAGTTGGAAAGTCATTAATGCCCTCACAGAAAAAAAAGGTCCTTTTTCAACTCTGGGGTTTAGTGAGTTCTCTTACCAGACACCTAACAAAGCCTACAGGTAAGAAGTATATGTGTTCATACAGATACACATCACTCCTGTCAGGATTTTGCTTGAGATGTACATGACTGCTGTACAGTCCTTCAGCCTGACATTTCTGAACATTGGCAGATTACCACCACTTTTCTGAAGCAGACCTATCTTCAAAGGATTGAATTCAGCAGGCGGCTTTCTGTCCCATCAGTCATCTCCTCTGGACTCTTAAGTGAAGTTACCTGCATCATTCATCTGTTGATTTATAAGCAGTTCCTTTTTCATGTTTACCAGCCTCACACAAACTAAAGATGGTCATCAATGTCCTTCCATATTTTAATTAACTGCCCTATTTCCCAACTTTTGCTTCCTATGTAATGCTTATGCCATACTCCCAATGTCTAATGTATGTATCAAAGTGGTGGTGTAGTCAAAGCTGCCTTAGCTGAGTTCCTAAAATTTTGCTCGTACAATTTCTTCAGTTTTGGAAATCTCCCAAAATCATTAACTAGGAGGATGCTGATGTAATATTGATCAGACCATTATGACCTCTCTGAATTTTGCCATATTGCTAGTTCCCGTGAAGTCACTTAAGGCTCCTTTCCACCAATTCCACAACACAGAGTTAAAAAATTTGTTCCTTCAGATTGTGACAGATCTTATAAAAAACATCACAAAATAATTTACAGATAACCCAAGGACTTTTTCACTGATGAGGGCACAAAAGTTCAAGCAAGCAAAAAAAAAAATCTATCTACCCCTTCTCCTTCCCCCTCCCACACACATCAGAATTTATGGGCCCTGTAAAAATAACACTCAGAGTTTGAAAGCCAGAACAACACCAAGGGGGCAAGGTGGGAAAGGAACCAACGTGCAGAGAGTCACATGGATCACTGGCCAAGCTCAGAAACCTAGACTCTTCTCTTTCGACGGTAGTTCAACAACCTCCTGCTCAAGTGCCGATGGCAGCAGGCTGTCAGCCACTGAACACCTGAAGCAGGAACAAACTAGGCCTGGGAAAGGGGAACTGCAGCTTCCTGAGTGAGTCCAGTGCAAATACCGTGCTACCCTAAAAATGTTCACCCTCTGTGAAACCATACCACCTTCACTAATGGTTCTTCCACCCTCCCATCCTGTGCTGCTGATCATCTGTCCTTTCTTCTGTGACCTTTTCCACCAGCTGCTGCCAGGAGAGGAGATGGTCAATACTGTCTGCATTTTTGACCCTTCAGTGGGTTTAGAAGAAGGACAAAAATACTGCTTTTTCACAAACAGCAGAAGAGAAAACCAGCAAAGGAAGGAATTAGGTGGCAGTAGATTCATCAAATAAAAAGTAAGGGGAAAAAAGTAGAGAGATTTGTAGAGAAGAACTAAGCATACAGGTTAAACAGTTACTTAGTTTGACTAGCAAAAGCCAGCAAAAAAAGTAAAGCCACAAAGAAAGCACACATAAGAATTGAACTATGAACTCCTGTGTCTGAAACACTTCCTTCTGCTTTCCTCTTCTGCATGAGATAGACACACAGAAACAACACACAATCCAGACCCACCATAAAAGGTTCCTATCAAAATACCCCATGCTGAACTGCCCTCAGGACAAGATGTTTGCTTTTGCAGGGGATGTGCAGGAGCGAGGTTCTTGAAAGAGAAGTGTTTTTAAAGTAGATATTTGCCAGCACTAATTAGTCCTCATCAGCCTGTCATTTGGATATGCAGGGCACCTGCTCATCTTGCTGTCGTACTGCTATGTAGAATTTAAGGTATCTAGCAGGGAAACAAACTAACCCCTAGGAACAAAACTCCTCAGTGTTTTTGGCAGAAAGTGGCTAAAATGGCCACAGCAGCTGACCTGGTGTTAAACTCTGGGGTCAGCAACAGACTCACTGTCTCCCCTTGTTTCACCTAAGTTCCCAATAAAATTTACCAAGATAATAAGCAACTGGCCACTGAGCCTTGCCTAGAAACCAGCACCCTGAGTCCTTTGCTGAACTCTGGTCTACATGCTTATTTGGTATCTCTAGATAACCTCAAATAGTAAGAGATTGCATTTTCTTCAGCATATTCCATCAGTCACCAGCGCATGCCAGCTCTGCAGAGCACAACTTTCTTGCATAGTTGTCTGAGGGCAGGACTAAAGCACTCACCAAATTTATAGGTCTTTAAACTCGGTTCCCATTGCTGAGAAAGGGAGAAAGAGAAAGCTAAAAGAGAGAAGCCTGACTGAGAAAGCTGAAAAAGAAAAGCCTTGCTCTTAGAATGCTTGAACTGTATCTCTAGAGCGGCCAGCAGCCTCTGGCATTCTCAGATCTTTCTGGTTTTAATGATTTTGCAAATGAATGGACAGGAAGATTTACACCTGCACATCAAAGAGCAGACTTTTCAGGCATAATTAGGATTGGAATGAACTTACACAGATGTATTCCAACAAACCCAACCTGTTATTCTTTAACCCTTGGTCATCAGCATCTAACAAATATTTACCCAGATGAAATTAGAGTGCAAAGGTTTCTGCTGAGAGAAGCTGTCAATAAGGTCGAAATGCAAGCAAAGGGAACAGCTACGCACTGTAGTAGTCTGTGTTAAAAAACATTTTCAAAATGCTGTCTGTTATTTGACAATATTTTCCAAGCCCTCTGTGCTATCCAAGCCTGTCCAGTCACTTTCCTCTTCAGTAAGTTTGAAACAATATTTTGGACACAGACTTGTAGGTCCCCTATAAAGCAGCATCAATGAAACTGCAGGTCCCCTGATGAACATCATTGCCTATCCACACCTGAATATCTACAGTGTTCCAGGAAACATTCAGCCCAGTAGAGAGCACAAGACCAGGAAACCCTATGGATGCAGAGGACAGGATATGTTTTAAGGAAAAACACTCATCACAGCCACTGAATATCCAACTGCTACTATCAAAACCAGAGAGGTCTGAAAGCTTTTTACCATCTTCAGAGAAGAGACATCAAGCCAAAAACCCTTTTAAATGAAAACTGCAAATCTTCACAACACTAAGGGAGAACACAGTTGCATATGGTGCCCCTAAATTTATTTACAAAAGCGATCAATAAACACTGTTCTCACAGATTGTTTATATTTACAGCCTGTCTGGGTGTTATTGTGAACTTATGCACAAGGCATCTCCCACCATGTGAGCTGAAGGAGCTCCATGCAAATTACTGAAGCTTTATTGATTCACACCAGCTTAGAATCCAGACCATAACTTTCTAATAGCAAAATGTGAAAAAAATTGCAGCATTTGCTGCCACAGCAGTGCATTATGCCATATTACAATATAATCAAGAATTTACTTGTTTAAGCATTGGAGTCATCATTTTTCTGTTCTCTCACCTCCACCCTCTCTCATTCAAAAGGTTATTGTTACATGCATTTAACATTTTTCACTTTTTTGTACATGTGGATAGTACTCACCTCTTCCTTGCCACTGTCTGGAACTCTGCAATAGACATCGCCAGTGGATGGATTATAGGAGTCTATGTAGGAGGAACAAGGAACAAATGTGCCACCTATGAAGTTTTCCAGCACTAAGAGAGCCTTTGAATGAGCCATTGTTGGCTGCTTACTTCACCTGTGATTTTTTTTCAACGAGGCATCAATTTAGATTAATATGTCTGTAGGTATTTGCACAGTGAGTCCAAACTCCTCCCCCATCTCCATCTTCCCTGCACCGCTTGTTTACAAGTGGGAACAAACCCTGGAAACAACAGCAGGAAAGAGCAAAGGGGAAAAAATTAGTATTACTGTGACACTTAGTTCTTTTCTAGGAGTTGAACCAAAGAGGGAAAAACAGCACAATTACTGGAAGCCAGCTTTTCTCTGTCTGTAAGAAATGAAGTATGGAAAAAAAAGAGAGAAAAGGAATAGTTTGAGGCAATGTCTACCTGTAACAGTTTTTGAAGTTTTTGAAAGAGAAAAGCCTTTTCTTTTGGCTTTTTTGAAGTTTGAAGATCTTTTGCAACAACTGAACAAAATAATTCAACACTCAAACATCTGGCCAGGAACCTGCTTCCAAGTGTCAGTAGACAAAAGACACTTAAGACCAGCATGTCTGCAGCTCATGTTCACTGTTCCATCAATACTTTTCCTTGTATCCGAAAAGCAATGCACCAAAAAACCAAAAGATTTTAAGCACTAAGAAACTATTTTCCACTAATATCACCAAACATCAAACAACAGCTTCATGACCCCTCAATTCAAACAGCTGAGAAGCACAATCCTACCTGATACACTCTTATATGTTGTCAGAAATTCATCAGGTTTTTTCTCCCAAAAAAAGCAAGACACTGGCTGTCATGCTTTCCCTTCCATAGATATTCCAGCAGAAGCCACTTTACTATAGAGAAGCCTGTTACATATAATTAATTTTTCCATTAACTTCCCAAGACCCTAAACTGCCCGGTAAGAGCTGTGTAAAAGATATTTTCTCCAAGACAATGCTGAGGATTATCAAATTGCTTTAAGATTGTGTGCCACCTCTTTGCTCTCCAGAGATATTCAAAAAACTACACCCAGAGAGCAGTATGTTCTCACCAGGAGATTGTGAATATCTCATCAGGAGTTTAGGAAGATTTTGCATCCTAGACAACTGGCAAGCCACCAAGTTTCACATGGATTAACATATAATCATATTTTGATTGAAGAAAGGTGACATGATTCTATTGCACAACAACAGATCATTTATGCTTCAACCAAGTGGCACCTCTGGGCAGAGTTCAAATCTGTGTTGAAAGGCAGTGCAGTCACGTTGCATCTGGATTATGTAATACCTCTGCTTCTCCCAAGCTGCAAACTAGGAAAGTATGCAGTAGCTTTTCAGTCATCACAGAAAAGCGAGCCTCAAAATTTAATCCAAACGTGTGAGAAGAGTTATCAGAGGTTTGCCCTTGTCCATAAACAGTAAGGAATTTATGCAAGTCTTAGAACTGAAGACTGTAACTGCCACCTGCCTTAAGGGTGACCTAAACATTTTCAAAGTTTGAAAGGCAAGCTCAAGTGGAACTGGTTCAATGCAGGAGCTTGGCAGTATAAATCTCTGGAATCCCACAAGGGCACCTAAACCTTCACAGTGGCATGTTGAAACTGGTAAATATTTAAATGCAATTTTTGGTCTATAAAAAGACATAATAAATAGTGATAATTAATAAACTTGGCAGTAACAGTTTGCAGGTATTTCAGTTTCATAAGCTTTTACAGAAGGCATTTCCACATAAAGCATTGCTGATACTTCTAAAATATCCATGCTGTCAACAGTACAATTCAACTATGTAGTCAAGTGCAGGTAGCTGCTGAATTGGGGCTAAAGAACTTAAGCACAAAAAAAGTTATCTACAAAAAAAAATCATGTGGGAAGAGTAGGTACAGGCCATATAGGACTGTGAACTAAATAAGAACTATAGCATTTTTGTATTCTTCACTACTCTGGACACAGCTTTACTTCAGTTAATGCCCTTGGACCAATGCTCTGGAGCAAGTGCTTCAGTTCCTGCCTCCAACTACTAACTCGGGGCAAAGGTGAACTGTCTCCATTCTGCACTCAGGTCCTGAAATACCTGAGGTCCTCTCAAAATTCCTACCAACATAATTTCCAAGTTGTAGTAAAGTGTGTCTTCCTGAGCTGGAGGTGGCAGAAGGACCCTCCTTTCAGCTGGGAGGTTTCATCTGCCCCATTACTGAAAAGCAGGAAGGACTTACAGGCGTAAGTCAGCACAATTTGGCTTTAGCAGACACCACAAGATTAAACTGTCAGCCTTTGTTCAAAAGAGCCCTAAGTATGGATGAAAGAGATGTGTATGTGCAGTGGCTGCATTGAGTAACATGAGAAAAACTGAAATTATTTCTTCAGAAAGCCAAGTTGGATGCCAGTTTCGCATTTTAAGTCATAAGTTTACTCTGAAACTTCTCAGTTATGGTAAGTGAAGAATGATTTAACACAATTTAGGAGTGTTTAAATAACAAAAGATGATGGAGACAAAAATGCTCAGACAAATTAATTTTATTATTCTTACTGTTTAAAAAATAAAATTAGCCAAAGTTGGCACAGCTTCCACTACACAGCAAAAGAAAATTCCTTTTTCCTTAAATAAATTCTGGGACACGGAAAACAATCCCATGATAATACTACATGCCATTCTCTTGAAAACAAGGTAAATAGTTGGGTTTTTTTTCCCTGAATATGCATTCAACTCAAACCTAAAAATATTTTAGACCAATAAAGTTATTTTACTGAATTAATGTGCAGCAAAAAAGCAATCAAAGAAAACATGTAAACAATTTATGTCTGGAAGTAAGGAGCTTGTTTCATGATAATTCTTCATCTTTTTTCTCTAATTCAGTTTTCTAATATTTTTCCATCAACTTCTCTAAGGGCTAAGTTCCACATGGAGAAACTCATGAGATTCTTGAGATCAAGAAGTGCAACACTTGCAGTTCCTTGTCAGTTGGCATCTTGTTCTGCAGCAGGAGAGCCTGATGAAGGGATCCCCAGATGTCTCACACAATTTGACTTTTGTCACCACCATCTTCTCCCCAGTTAATTGCACTTGTTCCTTCAACTGAAATAACTAGATTCTTATACATAAGTTTGGATATCTGACTGAGTTTTGCTTGGACGGTGGAAATTCTGTCACCACTGTCATTCTTTAATCTAAAAATACAAGCAAATGGAAAATTAAGTACTCAGTGTAAAATGATCTCAATGTTTTTCAGTATTGTATAGTTGTGGAAAAAATAATTCCTTTTCCACTTAAATTCTTAGAACAAGAAGACAAGTACTAAAATAGCAATTCCCAAATAACATATCAAAGAGACAACTTTTAGTCTCAATTCCACAAAGATTAATCTAGCTCTAAATATTGCAGATCTAAATAGAATTGTACTCATCTCAAATTTAGTGAAAAATGGGTTCAATCCATCCCATTTCTGGATCTTATTTAAGACCAGACAGATTTTTAGGAGCATTATACATCCATAAGGCCTCTGACCTAGCACATCATTCCTACGTATACAAGGAGAAACCAGAAAAGTTCATGCTCAAATTCTAAGGTTTGACATTAAATGACTCAGGCTTAAGTTCTCAGTACCACAACTTGGTTAATGCACAAGATTTTTTAAAGGGACAGATAGAGGGACATTCACATTTTTTGCTTGTAGTAGAAGATAGAACATTTATATTTAGCCCCCCAGTCTTTGCTTCCTCTCGCACAGGATCAGAAAATATTTTTTGGCATCAGTAAGAATCAAATGTACACCTGCCTTTAATGATAACAGAAAAAGATGTTGGACCCAACCTAGACACAGTTAAAATGGCCAACACTTCTTATTTAGAAACTGCTTCCAGTATATTCATACAAGCAGATTTCAAAAGACTGATGTATTTCAACTCAAGGGGAAAGAGGGGAAATTCTAAACACAGTAATTTTACTCCTAATAAATTAAACAGAATTATGACAACTTTTCCTCACATCTTCCTGCAGCACTGTCTCTTTTTTAGGAGAAAAAAATTCACTCTTTGGGCTAGAGGGTGTAAAACAGGTCTTAACCATAACATCATTCCTCTGCAGTACAGAAAGTCTATTACGAAAAGGCCGTACCTCTGTAACAACTCCTGCAGCAATAGTGGAACCACTGTAGCGTAACATAAACCTCCCCAGCTCTTTAAAATCTTTGTACAACTCTAGAGCAACAGGTCTTTGAGTTTGTAGTTCTATTAGAGCATTCTGGCCTTTAGCCAAGAACCTGCAGGTAGAAGAGCAGAAAACTCTATTAGAAGTGTGTGCATAGATAAATGAAGAAAAGAACAATGAACAAACAGGAAAAAGCATTTTAGAAAGCCCAGAGTACAACTATCAAACTTGATCTCAAGTATAACCCAGCCATGAGACTGAAAACTCATTTGCTTGGAGTATACATTTTAATAAGGCATCTAAATTTTCTTCAAAAACTTCTTGGCACTTACCACAGCATTTAACAAATTGTTTTGAAGCTAATTATCTCATTAACACCTGTTTTTTCATGTCAAGTGGAAATCAAGTCTTGTTTCAACCCACAACTAAAGAGCCCATTTATTACTTTGTAGAAGTCTCCAACAGTTTCAGCCATGAAATTTCTGGAAAAGGATTATTCTGAAAATGCTGTTTGTCTCAAATAGCATTTCTATATTAATTTAAAAATATTATTTTAAATAACTAGAGGGCTGTTGCTATAGTTGTATGGGAAGATTCCCTAAATTTCTTTTGCACTGACACATTGTCTAGCCAAATGTGTTCTAGGCAGTTAACCATCTCCAGAATTATATAAGGATCCCATGCTTTAACAGTTAAAGAAGAATTACTGTTTCAAAAACAAATAAAAAAGAGAGGGAGAAAAAAAATCCTTTAAGTTAAGCACTGCTGATCTAGGATTCATTCCCAATTATGCAACTGACCTTAGGCCTAAATCACTGCACTTCTCAGGTGCTCTGCAGTTATCAAGGGGCAGGAGATTTTTCAGTTTGCAAAGCACATTGAAATCCAAACATGAAACCGACTAAAACAATAAAAGCATATTCTTATAACATACAATTGATTCATAGTAGAACCTGTCTGATATACTGTGTATTAAACATCAACCCATTTCTTGAGAATTATTAACTATTCATAACACTTACTTAGGTTTTTTCTTTGTCACTTCACCAGTACTTTTGTGCAGAACACTCAACAGTCTTGTAATAGTAGCAGGTTCACTTACTGTTTGATAGTGTAAAAGCACCTGAAAATATTTTTTGTAGTTATTAAACATCATATAATAATCAGCAATCCTAGGTATTAATAGTTGAAAACAGCAGCTTGCTTTAAGACTGATTTTTTTAAAAACAAATACTTATAAAACTCCTCTCACAGGAGTATGTGCCTCACATCCACATTCCTAAACTTTGCGATCACAACTGATATGACACAAAGGCCATATTTTATGTCATCATAAATACATTTTTCATCCTTTGATGTTTTGCTTTTGCCACCTCAGTGCAGTTCTGTAGCATGAACTGATATTTTATTTATTTTAAAAAGTATCTTAAAAGGTATCTTACACTTAAGCGCATCACTATATTTCCACAAGATGCAAGCTTCTAAAGCCTAGCTGTGGTGGAACTCACATTCTCTGAAATGGCTCAGCTATGAATTAAAAGCCAGTAAGAATATGCATAAACTGGCACAGTAGCTCCTTCTATCCTCTTCAAATTACAGAAGAATCTGCTTCCTCTGGAGAGACAGAACCACTTCTGGATTCTGACTGTATCTTGTATTCAGGAGGTCAAACATACAGAGGAAAAGCCCTGAGCAACCTACCATGAACACACTTTTCAAAGAGACTTACAGGAAATCCTTTAGTGATTGGAACCTCAATATTGAAGATGAGAACCCGAGCTCTGAACCGAGTACAAACTTTTATAGGTTCCTTGGGATCACAAAATACACAGCCCACACTAGAAGAGAGAACAAAACGCAAAAAATCTAACAGATACCTCTTGACATAGAAGTGTAAAATAATTATCCCTTTCCAGGGCCGTGATTAAGACAAGCAAAGGAAAAGCAACACTAACATAAGAAGGGTGGTGCAGGGGTGTAGGTGTGTGGACGTCCAGGAACACTGTATTGAAGCCTGTAATAAAATGCATTCCTAGACAATGTCTACCTTGTTTTGTGTGTATGCATGAAGGGCTCTGTCTAGTTCAGTGAACAATTACGTCCATTGCTAATCAGTTTCTGAAAATGTCATTATTTCCTGTGCGTAGATATTTTTAAGAATTAGACTTTCATTCAGAGATTCAGGGTTTCCGTTCAACAGCATAAAATACTGCAGGGTGCCCAAAATTGCAGTATTGCTGCCGGTGGCTCGAGTATTTTCTGGATAATAAGCGGACATCATGATCAGCATTCAAAACCTGAGATTTCAGCAACACTCATTTCCAAAAAATTTTACTTGGAGTCACAAGAAAGCTGCTGCTTGTTACAAGTTGGTAAAGTAGACTAGACATAGCTTTTTCACAGGTGCTAGTTTTAGCCATCTGAAATGAAAGGAAAATTAATCCCACACAGGTAAACATGACAGAGGAGAAAAAACAGCATGATGAAACATATACATCAAATTTCATCAATATCAAGAGGACTTCAAAATTCACAACTTTTTTTGACAACCCTAACCTATCTCCAAAAGACGAATGACAGCAAGGTAACAAATTACCTCAAGACTTCATTCACCAACTAGAACAAGACGTCCCTCAACCTTTCACCATTGAGACTCCCACCCCACTATGAAATGGCAACAGAGAATACCTGTACCTTTCCCTTAAATCAGAGCATAGACTTGAAAAACTATCAATGCAAGGAGATTTTCAAAGAGTAGCTTGAAAGTTTGCTGTCTAAAGTCCAACTGAAATGTAAAAAAGGTGAACAAATTGTGGATCCAATTATCTGGCTTTAAAACTGACACTTAAAAGCTTGAGGCTAATGCTTAGAATGAGTCCTACAGACTGGAAAAGGCATAAAGAGATTTGCTGCACCTCACTATTAAGACCACCCCTTAGTAAAATGTTTAAGAAAATAAATCTTACAAGTAGCTAAATGTGTTAAATAAACAGGTTCCATCAATTCCACTTGTACAGATTAACTTAGTACAAAATGACAGTTGTTTGCATGTGTCCTGTTAGAATAATTGATAATTTGAGAAGTTCTTTAACAATTTTCTGTTTTACTTAGCAACATGTGTTTAATTTATTTGGCAATTAAAATGTCCAAGGGGTAGTCTGAAAGAAAAGGGCTTGGAAGGTTACTGGTGTCAGCACTAGGGCAA